AGATCAAAGATTAACATTAAATTTAACAACTTGTGGTTTAGTACATCTTAATGATGAATTTAGAAAAGTTGTGGAAAATTATCATTCTGTAACAACACAGGTAAATTTATTCTTATTTTATAATTATTCTTATTTCATTATAAAAGCAATATAAAAATTTTGAATTTTTTAGATTGGAAAAACCGTGCAAGAAATGGCAATTCTATGTCAAAAAACTTTTATAGAACCTTTAAAAAAATTACGAGATGAATTTATTTTAATAGCTGCAGCAATAACCAAACGCGAAGAATTGGTAACTACTTGGAAATATTCTTATAATCGTGTCAAAAAATTACAAGAGAAAAAAGATAGAACTGCTAATCATATCGCGAAATTAGAAAGAGAACGTAAAGCTGAAGAAACAGCTGCTAAGGAATTAAAAGCTGTACATGCCCAATTACTTGTAGAATTACCCATGTTTTTAGACAAAAGATTAGAATACATTAAACCTAGCATACATGCCCTGATAATGATACAATTAGATTACTATGGAAGCACAACACATTTATTCACACATTTAATGCCAGTACCAAATGCTTCAGAATCACCATCTAGCGCTATGATACCTGAAAATGAATATCAACAAGCTATGGCCAATCAAATAAATAGAATAAGAGGTCTTACAATTGTTAAAGACCATTAAAATTGTAAGAATTTTTCAAATGAATATTTCACAAAAATTACAAGAATTTAAATATTAAAGGAATTGAAGTCTATATATTATATATATAATACACAGATATATATATACATATACATACATATATATATATATATATATATAGGTACGAATATATCTATATTTATTATATGGCAGTATTTACAATTCAAATTGTAAAAATATAATTAAATTTATGATGGAATCATTCCTTGATTTCGTTTATACTGAGCACCAGAACGACGATTATGATTAGCATGTTTTGCTTTTCTAACATTTTTCTGTTGCCTATTATATAAAACGTCTTTTTTTTGTCCATGACCTTTAGGATTACCTACATAAATAAAAGATATTATTTTAATATTATATTAATAAATACAAATGATTATTTTAATTTTATTAGATTATAAACAAATTATACCAATCACATTTGGTGCAATTCTACTATCTCGCATTTGTCTCCGTTGCTCCGCTTTAGCACGTAATTCTTCTGGATTTTGTACAAAGTCTTTTCCATTTTGATTATTCCTTACATCATCATCATCATCATCATCATCATCATCATCTGATACTGATTCGCTTACAGTTTCAACTTTTTGTCTATCTCGAAGAATCTAAAATTGTTTTTTATTTATTGTTATTAATTTTTATATAATTAATTGATATATATTAATATTATTAGAATATATATGTATAAAATTATATACAAACTCTTGGTATAGTAAAAGGCCTATCTATTTCAGTAGTATCATCTTGAGTATTTCCGCGTACATCACGATTGTCATATGTATCATCATACTCGTCATCATAAACATCTGTGACAAGATCGTAACTGTAAAAAATTTCGTTTTTTAATTATTAATTATATTTATCATGTATTTATTAATTAATATTAAATATTAATATTAAATTTTTTAAAGTAATATAATTTTATAAATGTTATCAAATGTAATTATATGTTTTTCAAATGTATTGTTTTCAAATGTATTATATTTATAAATAAATATTTTTTTATGAATTATATAAATTTCATATAAAATTCATAATAATTATCCTTGAATTCTTACTTTTTGATTATATAATCTTTAGATATATTTATAATTTCTTGACTTTTAATATCATTATTATCAAATTTAATATCATTATTATCAAATTTAATATCATTATTATCATTATTATAATTATCAAATATGTTCAATGTTTCAAAATTACAATCTAAATTTGGATTGTTTAAAGTTTCCTAAAAAAATAATAAGATTATGTACATTACTTAATATACTAATTTTTTATTTTTATAATTTAATAATAAAATATTCTTACTGTGTAAATTGGTGAAGCAGACATTTGTGAATGTCTTAAGTCTTTTAACTCTTTTAATTCTGTGGGTAAAGATTCTTCTAAAATAGCATTTATTAATTCTTCTGTATTATAATTATAATACTTTAAACTTATCTATAAAATCAATCTCATTAGATATATTGTCATAATAATTTTTTTATAATAATTTTATATAATTACCTCAATGAAATATTCATCTAAATCATGTAATATATCTTTGACTTCACTAACAAGAGAAGCTAATTCAACAAAATCTTTTATTATAGGTTCTTGTTTCTTATTTGAAGAATTTATATTTTCAGATATGGTCGTTTGACTTGAAATACCACTAGGTCCAGCTGTAGCTTCCTAAAAAAAAAAAAATAATATTTTGTAAAAATATTAACAAAATATATTTTATAAAATTATTATTATATTATTACTATTAATTACTATATTATATACTTACACTTATATTAGAAAAAATATTTAATAAATCATTGGATTTACCAGTAATTGCATTGACCGATTGTACTATATAATTATAATTTATTTGATCACTGAATATTTATTAAAGAAAAATATTTGTTATAGAAAAATTTTGTAATATATTATTTCTATAATCATATTTATATTAAAAAAAAAAAGGATACGGATCAGAACAAAGAACCGATAATACATTCAAGTCTGATTTAATAGGATAAAATTGGTCATAATCTGTAACAAATTCTTTTTCAGAAATTACAGAACTTAATAAATCAAGATATTCATCCACTTGTTTCTTAATTTCTTCTTCCTTTATGATATTTCTAAATATAATATTATAATTATATTACATTAAATATAATATGAGAGAGGACAGAGAGGGAGAGATTTTCTAACTTATATAATTATGCACTTACATATTTTCTTGGATATTTAATATTGGTTCATGTATAATAACATGAAAAATATTTAAAATTTCAATTCTTATTACATCTAAACGATGTTTTAATTCCATGTATTTTGGCATATTTTCATCATTATATGCCAAGTCATCTAATAATTTATACATTTCAGGAATTGTATTTTCATATATTGAAACAAGTCTAATAAAAGTTAAAAAAACAATAATAGAATAAATTATTAAAGATAATTAAAAAAAAGATAAAGGAAGTAATAATAGTAATAATAATAATAATAAGAATATCTTATAATTTAATTACTTACTTTTTCATAAAATCCTCTCTATGAAATACATTTGCTCCAGAAGGATAATTTTTCAAAAATATTTCGATAGTTGAAGATATATCTAAAATATATAATATCATATCTTCCAAATTAAATAATGTAAGTTTCATAGAATTTGTAGATATTGCTGCATTAATATGAGTAGAATAACCAAACTTTCTTTCAACATCTTCAAGTGCCTGAATCAATAATCTAAATTTATTATTTTAAGTACTATTTTAAGAAAAGATCAATTATTTTATAAACTATATTTATCATATCACCTCTATAAGGCAAGGAATAGTTTTTTGAAGATCATTATTATACCGTGGTTCTAATATAAATAAACAATTTAAAATTTTTTCCATTATTTTTGGATTTTCTCGACCATAAAATTGGCAAAGATCAAAAATAATTGGAATTGTAAATATATAATTTTGATATAATAAATTTCCAAAAAAAGGACGGTTCATATATTCTTTTGGATTTTCCTTATTTGTAATCAGTCGTGTAAAAGTTATAAGTACGTAACGACTTAATATTTCTAAAAGTTGCAGCATATCTGGAGGGAAATTTTCTAAAGCATAAAATGGTGGTGCTTCTTGAAGAAAAGATACTAATGTATTTAATATTGAGCGATTGAATATAATATTTGACCAAAACCTATATAAAGAATATATAATAAAAATATAATATTAATAAATATACATATATATATATTTCAATTTTCAATATAAATCAATATTTTTTTTAATTATATTTACCTATAGAATGGAAGACTAAGTAGCCATTTTAAATCATTAATCATATAATTAACAATTTCTATCCAACGTTCTTTTGCTCCTTCAATTTCAATTCCATCATCATTATATATATTAGGAGCTTCATAATGCAAGAAATAATGGTTATTTTTCCATTTTTTACTCTAAAAAGTTTTAAGAAAAACAAATTTTGTTTATTGTAAATTCATTGATCACATAAGAATTTTAAAAAATTTTTAATATTTTAATATATAACAAAATTTAAATAAAAATAAATTAAAACAAATTAAAAATAATAAAATTTGTTAATTAAAAATAGGTTTAATATCATTTATAATAAAATAATATTATTTATTAATAAAAATATAATATATGCAATATATATATATTTACAAACATTATTATTTACATACATACCAAAGCATCTATGGTTTCCACAACACCATTAGTTTTAACCTTTAATTTTAAATTTTCCAGTGGCAAAAATTCAGGATTCTATTAAATAAATAAAAATGTTATATTTTGTTAAGTAAATGAGAATATATTTATAGTAAATCATTGTTCTAACCTAACCTAATAAACAATACTTTTACAATTAAACATTATAAATAATAATGAATAAATTACCTCGTAAGAATCCATATTTTCGTACGATATATTTCCTGTCATAAATACTATTAATATTATAAATACTATTATTATTAAACAGTTGCAATTGCAATAAATTATTTTTTAACAAGTTGCAATCATAACAATGTACGCGGTTAGTACGATTGTCTTTTGTGAACTAACCTGCCTTTAATAGACCTTTCAGTTGAATATCGCAAAAAAATTAATATTGGAAAATCTCAAAAAATGAACGTTATGGTTTTGTTATGAATTAATATTACTAAAAAATCTACTCTATCAATTATTTAATACTATTTAAAACTTTCTTTGTCTTGAGGTTATGTTTTGACTATTTGTATATTCTAGTGCTCTTTTATGTTACTTTTGACGAATTTAATAATTTAAAATTTTATATTATAAACTATATATTAAAATGTCTACTGATGAAAAAAATATTAAAAAATTGAATAAACCAAAAGTTATAAGTATTGTAAAAGTGAATAAACCTATTAAATTAATGAAATTAAATGAAAAATCTGGTAATAATGAAAATAAAAATACGAACGTTGTTGATAATTACGTTCCTTTAAACGATGCTAGTAACATTCAAAATATTAAAGAAAATTTTAAAGAAGTTGATATGCCCAAAAATTCTATCAAATCTTTAAGTGATAATATAATAATTTCAGCTACTTCTATTGAACAAAATGAAAATAAAAGCAAAACACTTAAATCAGAAAAATATGAGAAAACTAGAGAAGCTAATGTTTCAAAGAAAAATTGTATGAAAAGTACAAAAGAAAAAGAAAATAAAATAACAATTGATAAAAAGAAAGTTAAGAGTGTAACTATAAAATCTCCAAATTTAGATATTTTGAAGCATAAAAGTAGACTTTATTCTTCTGATACTAATACAAAGAAACTAAATGCTACAAATAAAAAATCTATTTCAGTTACAACTAAAAAAAATTCAAAACCTATTGTCGGTGTTATGCCATGTTATAAATATAAAAAAGTTGAATCTAAGACTCCTGTTAAAAAAACTGTGATAAGAGATATAATTGGTTCCAAAATAAAGCCTTGTATTAATCCAGGAATAGAAAAGACACCAGATAATTTAAAATTTTTAGAAATTGATGAAAATATTCATGTAAAACCAGTTATTTCTGGAAAAGAATTAGCAAAACCAGAATATAATTCAATTATGTATACAATCAGTAAATTAAATGAACTAAAAAAACAAAAAGTTATAACTGATATTGAACATTTACCAGCTTCATATAAAAATCTTATAAGTGGGAAGGTAATGAAAAAAATAATGGCTTACAATTATAATAAGAGTTATTCTCTTATATTTTCTATTTCAGATTTCTACTGCTTTAGATTTTCCACTTGATGAAGTAATTTATAAAAATTTGGTGGATTTATCCATAGATGAAAATCAATTGCCAAGTAGATTAACTCGTAGTAAAGATCCAGAACCAAGGCAAAAAGATATTGTGCCAATACTTTCTGATTTTTTTACACCTGTACCTATTGATGAATATTGTACTCCTGTTTCTGTAAAGCCACGATTTTCAGAAACTATTGATTATTGGAATGCTTTCAGAATTAGTGATCAAATATATGAATGGAAACATACTTTGAATCATATATGATTAGATGTTTTTGTTTTATGAATAACTTATTTATTAATTACTATTTGGGAAACACTCATTTTAATAGATATATTTTTTTGTAAAATGTAAAGTATTTTTCATATTTCATATTAATGAATAAGATAGTAATAGATATTTTGTAGAATATATATGTTAAAATTTAAACGTGATATACACAAATGAATATATACAATAAATTATTTAATATACCTACATATGTCTTAGTTTTTTTATATGATTATAACATTTCATTTTACAATTTTCATGAAGCACCAAAAATATCATTATTATACGATGTATAATAATATTATATGATGTATAAAATGGAAAAATAATAAAAAATTCATGGTACATTTAGATTGTGTCCTCTAACAAGAATTATACTGTCCTCTAATTATATTGATAAAAACTAATATGAATTTACACTTTCATATGTGATAGTAACATTTACAATATCTTTTTTCATGATTTTCTTATTTAATGATTCATAAATTTAATGATTGAACAGATGAATATAATAAATGCAATTTATCTACCAAAAGGATTTAAGTTCTTGTTATAATCATCGTCGTCATCATTAAATGGATTTGTATCGTCGTTATCTTTAAAAGGATTAGTGTCATCATCTTTATCTTCGGAAAATGGATTTTTTGATTCATCATAATCATCTGTTCCAAATGGATTAGATGGTACAATTGGTGTTTTCGGTGGTATGTAAGATTTCTGAATTGGCGATGATTTTGGCGTTGTACTATTTAGAATGCGAGCTTCTCGTATAGGTATTGGAGAAGCTTTTCTTGAATTTCCTCGTGGAGTAGATATGTCACTGGCTGTACCAGAGATATTTGCTTCTAAGGACGAAGAATAAAGATCTGATTTTGGAAATGATCGCAATCGATCATCCGTTATTGTAGAAAAATTATCATAAGGACGACGAATTTCAGTTTTTCCTAAAATAATATTTAATTTATACTAAAAATACTATTATATTTTTAAATATAAAATATAAAATATAAAATATAAATATAAAATAATAAAATTTTTTAGTTTAATAAAATGTTATTTACCTAACGTTGTAGTTTTACCTTCTGTTAATCTGATTCTAGCTTCTGCACCTGGTCCATAATTCAATTTTGATTCCTCAAATGTGGATAATGATTTATCATTATCAGTGATCACCATTAATTTTTTAAAGACTCCGCGACCAAAGTAATCAGCAACTAATGAAAATGGATCTTCTGCTCGATCTAATAGACTATGAAATGTTTCGTGAAGATCTTTCGATTGTTCTTGCGCTTTTATAATATCCAACAATTTTTTATTATTTGGTAAACAAGCTGGACATTCATTTTCATTTTCCGAAAAGCTTTGAAAACAACTAATATAATGAAAATAAAACAAAGATATATTAAAATGCTTAAATATTATTATATTTGATACTCTATACTTACTGTTGATGATATGAATGCTGACACATAAAATGTACCGAGGGAAGTTCTAATTGATGATGACAAGCACTACAACGCGATCCTTGAAAGATTATAGTACTACTTTTAATTGATTCTATTTGTTCTCGAATTTTTTGCGTATCTGCTCGATATTTTTCAGTCAATTCCATATCTGCTTGAGTTTGTTTATGTTCTGTTAATAATACGCTATTTAAATAAGTTCTTATATCTCCCAAGGTACAGGAAAGTGAAGTAGAAATTGCATCAATAACCATCAATGGTGATAATAATCTTTCCTGAGCTGTATATAATTTTTTTTTTTTTAAATATTATAATATATTATACACGATTAAAATAATTAAGTTGAATTTTACATATACCTATGTATGCTAATATATCTGCAAGAAGCTTAGCTGGTGCTTCTTTACTTCTTGCAACACTCCACAAAGCTTGAACCCATAAATTTGGATCTTGATGTCCAAATCGTTTGCATGTAGCTAAGATTTGCTCATTATCTCCTTCACGTAAATGAAATCGTAATATTTCCTGATATCTATGTATAATATAATATAAAATAAAATTTCGAATTGTAACCGATTATATGAATTACTTCAACTTACAATTTATTTTCTTCGTAAAGAAAAAGTAAACCGCGTTTGAAATTATGTTGATAGCATAAGATTAATATTTGATCTTTATCATAACAAGCTTCCGAATTTTGTAAAAGTCGAACAATTTTTTGTTCGTATTGTACTTTTGTTACATCATCATTCAAAGCCGACCATACATGAAGATAATGCTCTACTAATGTATTATATACCAAAGTACTCCATCTATGTATTAAAAAAATATTTAATTTAGAATACAAATTGACTTTTTCTTTTTATATATTTATATTCTGAGATAAGATTATATCTTATATTATTATTATATTATTTTTATTATATATTTATTATATTATATTATAATTATATAAGATTATATCTTATATATATTATATATATATATATATTCTGAATTAATATACTAACTTGCTATGAGTTTTTACTAAATGTTCTAAAAATTCTACAAGACGTTCTGAATTATTTAAAAACAAATGAATAAAATCTTCTGGATTAGCTTTATCAACATCTTGACATATGTTACCATACAATGTTTCCTGAATCAAATAAATTATTAGAAGTAGTATCTTTATTATATTTATATTACTAGTCTTATCTACATTATTAATTTATTTTCTTGATCATTTAATTTTACCTGATCTACAAGTGGTTTATTGAAAGGCCTATAATTAGTACATAAAGCTTTTAAAAATTGAGTTGATTCATCTGGTACATTTTCTATAAGAATATTACCATATTTTTTCATGTTAGATTCTGCCTAAAAAATTGGTTAAAATTAATAAAACGAATTAAATTTTTTATATCATGAATATACCTCTTCAAATTCTAAAGTTGCTATATATTCTAATGCCTTCTTATATTCCTGTTTATCTTCTATTTGAATACGAAGATAACATTCATGACGACCATGTTTTTGTGCAAGTAATAAGGCATCTTCAGGTGATGCTTGACGACAAACTTTTATTGCAATTTCAACATCAAAATCAACCTCTCTATCTTTTGTCTAGAATTATAGAATAATACAATATAAGATAAGATAATCGTTTTAAAATTAATATTATATTCAAATTAATAATTATTTACCATAATAAATTCTTTTAATTTATCTGTATGATTAAGTTTCGTGTAACAATTTAATAGTAAAGTTGTATGATCTTCTGTTGCTTGTCCATTTTTATGTAAAGCTTGTAAGTAAGTTGTTAGATTATCTATATGTTGAGAATCTAAAAACTTTCTAATTACATACGATGGTTCTAATTTTCCAATAGTTTTAATATATTGTTCTATTGCTCCATTATGATCTCCTTTTGAATATAAATGATCGCCATATTGTCGAAATATGTCAACAAGTCCTTCAGCATCATATTGTTGATTTTTAGCTATTCTAAAAATGATGTAATATTAAATTATTATTGAAATGTTTTTTATAATTTTTTATAATTTTAATTAAAAAACGTTTTCTATAAATTTAATTAAATATTTCATTGCCTACCTTATAGATACATCATATAAATTTTTTTTGAAAAGTAGTGCTAATTTCGATTGCAAATCTTTTTCATCCAAATTATAAAGTTTATTGTCACCACTGAGTATAAAAAATCCACCCCATTCTGATAGAACAGCTTGTACAGACAACATCGATGCAGAAAATACAATAAATTTATTTTGTATATCGAGAACTGTGATCATATGTTTATCTACACCTGGAGGTATTGGTTCTATAGTACTACAAATAGATACAATAGTTTGAGAATTAATTCTTATTTAATATAAAAATATATTATAAACATGTAAAAAATTCTTGCCTTGGTTTCGCAGAAATGGTAGTTGTTGTTCTTGGAACATTAGCAGCTTCTTTTGCTATAATAACAAGATAACTTCTGAACCATTCTAACATAATTTTTTGACCCTCTACTGCATAACAAGGACCTCTACCATCTGGTGTGTAACAATAAATTGCCTAATATAAAATGAAATTATTAATAAGAGGATATTTTTTATATGTTTTATAATGAAATTTTTTTAATATTATTACATCATTACGACCAATCATGAAATGACTATCTTGCATGGATTCTGCAAGAACACTACATTTTCTAGCGCAACCCATAGTGTCTAAGGGGGATTTAAATTCTTTATCCTTAACAGTAATATTATATAAAAAAACACTATTTGTTGTGGCAACAAATAAATGATTTTGTTTGCCACTAGATCTTATTGCTAAACCAGTAATGGAAACATTGGTAACTTTTAAAACTTTTATCTTGTTCCTTCTTTCTCTAGTTAAATCACCCCTAAGAATCAAAAACTATATATTAAAAATTGTTAGAAAATTAAAAAAAAATTGGTATTTATGTAAATTTACCTATAAAGCATAATAGAACCATCTCCAAAACCAACAGCCATTAATGTAAGACTAGTATGCACACACAGAGCAGTTGCAGGAACTCCTCTGTAACTTGGTATAGCTCTACTTATACGGACACATGTTGGATTGCCTTGTTTATCTGGTTTAGCTAAATTCCATACCTTTATAGTAGGGTTACAACCTGGTTCATCTTCCTAAATAAATAAACTTTTCAATAACAAATATCTTTGTAATAAATCTGTAATAATAATAAAATAATACTAACACCAATGGTGAATAGAAAAGTGGAATGTTGAACTTGTTGAGCTAATGTTAATGTAAGATCATAAGCACGAAATGTGATTACGTCATAAGTCCTATTTACTAAATGCACATTGCCTGTATTATCTCCGAACACTAAAGTTCCATTACCGCTCGTAGCTGCTGTTACTTGAGCATCCTGATTAACAGAATATACAATATACATCGAGCATAATATCTTAACCTATTCGAAAATAATATCAGAAAAAATTGTATTTGAATTGAAAATAACTCACACCAAGTGCCGTGGCTACTTTTCCACCGTCAACTTCTTTTTTAAGATCGAAGAAATTGAAGCGTCTCCACTGAAAAATAATTGATTTTTTGTCTTGAACTACAGAGAGTGAGGTTAAGTATAAATCACAAAAAAAATATTATACAAAATATCTCAATAGATTATTAAATGAACCTCGAGAAATGCCATGTTGTACTACAATTATCTATTTACACATCTGAAGCAAAATTTTATTGATA